CTTGAGACAATCTGACGCGTCGATCTTGCTTCGAAATATCATATATCCGGAGGACCAGAGAAAGCGTGATGAGCGAATCATGATGGCGCTAAATGTTATGAAGTCTCCAAATCGCTTGTAAGTATCCGTAGAAGTTTTACGTATTCTTACCTTAACTCCTCGAGCCAAAGAGTGTACAAGGGTCAGACCCGTGATTCCAGCGCGATGCATAGAAACAGAAAAAGAGCTCAAGCGCTCAACCATATCGCAGGGGCATGAGCGAAATAACGACAGCCGACGACTTCACATAGTAAAACAATATTTGTCGAGATCAAGACACATAGTATGCTAGGCACCCAGTCTTCAGCCTCCAGGTATTACGAAATACGGGTATCGGGGTGTGGATGTGACAAAGCCGCTACAAAAGCGGTCTGGACAACGCATAACAACCATAACAATAACGTCCTCAGTAAAAGTGAATGTCTAACAACGAAGAAACACTTATAAGCATAAAATTGCATTGGTCATAGGTGAGGAGGCATCCCTATCCCTACTCCTCTTCACCCTCATCTTCTTCTTGAATCGGATGGCGGAAGGCCGGTCCCGAACGTCCAGGTGGAAGTTGCCTGCGACCACCTCGTTGCTCTGGCTGTTCAAATGTCTCGTTGGGAAGCGGAGAGCTGCGTCCACCGGGAGAACGACCGCCTTTGCTTCGCGTGCCTCTTCCAGCGGCACCGACGGCGGTAAGCCCGGCACTTGCCGTCGAACGTTTGCTCACTCCCGAGCGCATGCCATGTCCCCTGGGTGGTGGTGACAGTAAGGGTGGGTCAGGCTGATGTGCGAACGTCGGCGATGCACTAGCTGCAGAGGTTGGCATTTGCCCGAGCCCGCCTGCATATCCAGCGACGTCGTCATCTTCGTCCACCCAGTCCGACTCATCACCCATGCTGAGGGATTGTCGCCTAGAGAAAACGTCTCTAATCCCTTGTTGGCTATCTGGAGGAGGAGAGATGGAGAGCACTTCGATAGCGGAGTACGCCGATCGTGTTTGCCAGCCGGGTGGTTCCAACCCCCATGACTTTTTCCAACTGGAACGTCCTAGCGAATTTAGGTAACTATTACTGCCACTCGGATTGGAAAATGGCGTCTGCCGCTTATGAGCGACGAAGGTGGTTGGTGTATGATTCCGTCTTGGCGTCTCTTCCAATGAGCGCCGTGAGTAGCTCTTATGAGGTGAGTTGTTCCTCCGGCTATCACTCTCCGAAAGATCATAAAGAGATCCAGGACGAGATGATGCAAGTGAGTGCGCAGACGAGGCAGAATTTGATCGCAAGTGCGCGATATGTGGCGCCTGTCGAACAACACGAGTGGATGAACCCGATCCAGCCCGCCTGTGATATTTAGATAATGGCGATGCCGTGCGACCCGGATGCATAGACCCCGCCGAGCTCGCTGAAGGAGATTTCCGATGTCGTTGATGTGTGAAACTTTGAATAGAGGGGGGTCTTGAAAAATCATCGCGCTCTGAGTTGGGCGTATGACTGCCAAACGACCTCCGACTTCCATCACTTCTTCTGCGCGTCATTGAGACCATCTGGTCCGGTGGATAACCAGGCGATTCTAGAGTCGGAAACATGGCGGAATGGATGGATGATCGATGAGAATTCACACTGCTTGAGCGCCGCGACGAGACCGATGTCCGCTTGGAACGCCCCCCCGATTGCCTTCCCGCTGGAAACTTTCCGCGGCTTCCGCTCACACGACGCTTCACAGCGCCCCGGCCTCGCCCCGGTGCAGAATTTGTGCCAGGACTAGTCATAGAATGCGGATAAGCATGCACTGGCTGTGAGGGAAGTACTGGGCCTTCCTTGCGTTTTCCTTTAGGGTCCTCCTTGAACCACATCCGGAACGCAGACAGGAGACTTGCGCGATTACGACTGCTACCCAAAGTCTTACTACCAGCGATGTTCGGCAGCGCAGATAGCGTATCTCGCGGTGAATCAGTCCCAGTCGGAGGAGGTGATCCCCTGGTGTTAGCCATGACCCAAGGGGACCCTACTTGTCCTTGAACGCTATGGTCAAGGCTGGGAGGGGGTGTGGCAGGTAAAAGCGCATCCTTCGACTTCATAGGAGGACTCTTCGCAAGCTTGCTCGAGCCACTCCCATGCGACGCTCTTGGCTCCTCGCCACTGCCGCTGGCCGCTCGTTTATCAGAACTCCGCTCCCTGTCCTTCTCTTTCTCCTCTCGTACACCCTCTGCAGACTTCTTCCTCACAAGTCCGGCAGCTTCCAATGCGGTTGTTGCTCGCTGCATGATGCTAACGCTGCCAGATCGGTTGCCGCGCCGCTTGGAGCCCGGATCTTTGTCCTTGAGGCTACCCCCGGGTGTCGAGGGATGTGATCGTACAGAAAGCTCAGCCATGGAGGGTGTCGGAGACAGGAGCTGATTAGTGGGAGATTTCGTGCGGGGAGGGGTAACGGGACGTGCTGTTACTGCGGCCGTGGGAGTAGGAGGAATAAGTTGCAATTCAGGAGCAGAATGCGTCTGCGATAACACGGTTTGGACTGCAGAAGAAGGGGGAGTATCGCAGGCAGATCGGCAGGCAGATACTGAAGTCTTGCGTTCCTTCGGCCTCGGCGGCGCCTTCTGTTTCGTTTCTTCTGGTATATCTGTTTCCATCGTATCCACAACAGCTTTGTTGTCTCCCTCCTCCTGCATTCGCTTTTCCGCTTTGCGTTTCAACATCCACCACAGGGCACCCGTAGCGTCACACGCATCGCTAAGCACGGAATGAACAATCTGACCTGTATCCAGACCGAGGGCACTCATTGAGTTCAACAGATCACGCTCGAGAGCTGTCGAGAAGATCAGCGGCGCAGGAGTTTGTAAAATTGAAGAGAAATCCTGGGGAAGAGAAGAACCAGCAGATTTCTCGAATGTGGGCGTAGATGGATCAGAGAGGGTAGACGACACTGAACGACGCTTCGTGCGTGCAGGAGTACGTGTAGGTAGCGCTGGCGGAACCTTGTTGGATGTTGAATTGGAACCATGCCGAGGGAACGACGGCCGTGGTGGGGGCGGCTCCGGAGTCTCGGAGTCATAACTTACGCCATTTATCTTTGGCACATGAACGGTAGAAGACGTGGCCCCAAATACATCCTCGGATACATCGTGATCAGGCGTTGTCGGCACTGATGTTGGAAACTCGGACGACGCAGAGTGATATGTTGAGTCTGATTTTCCTGATACTGCCGACCGCAGCTGCGAGTCCGTACTCGAAGATGGCGGATGCAGCAGGGCCACAGGAGAGGTCGGACGAGATGCAATCGACAGGCTGCTGCGGGAGGCATTCATCTGCACCGGCAAGACAGGTCGCGACGTGAACCACCCATGTTCGAGCATTTGGGCAATCGTAAGTCGTTTTTCCGGGTCAACATGTAGAACCGCCTTGACCAGATCACGTGCCTCTGATATAGTACAGGAGATTAGTAGCGTCAACATAGAAAAAACAGGAGTTCCGAACATGCACACCTTCTGAAAGCCATTCCGGATCCTCGAAGACTCCACTGATAACCTTGTCCTTCATGACTCTCTCGTCATCGTCATCGAATGGAAGGGTACCAGTGAGGAGTGTGTACATAATGACCCCAAGGGACCATACGTCTACCTCTGCTCGTCAAATTGACGTCAGTTGCCGCGATTGTACATCGTCAATCCTACTTGCCTGGTCCAAAGTATTTCTTCGCAAGCAGCATCTCAGGGGACGCATACCCTGTTGTACCACAGAACGTTTCAAGGAGCGAGCCCCGTTCAAACTCTCGAGTGAACCCAAAGTCGCCCAACTTCACTCGGCAGCGCTCATCCAACAGAACATTCTCCAGCTTCAAGTCTCGGTGGACGATACCTTTAGAATGCACGTATGCAACTGCAAGGCATAGCTGACCGAAGATGATCCGCGTCTCGTCCTCGTCCAGCCGGCCTTTCTCGGCGAGGTAATCGAATAATTCGCCACCAGAACAAAGCTCAGTAACAAGCCAGATATATGTCTCTGTTGCTATGACTTCGTAAAGCTGCGTGACATGTGGGTGGTGCAACTGGCGGTGATGGTGTATCTCACGCGTGAGTGAGGCCGACATGGCTTTTGGAATTTGCTTAATAGCGACACGAACGCCGGTCAAGCGATGTACGCCGAGGCGCACCTTCCCATACGTTCCTACCGCCGGCCAGTGAGATAAACAGCTGCTCAGAGACTAACGGTTCACGCACCCTCTCCAATCACCTTCCCGAGCGTGTAATTGCCAACGACCCTAATCTTCTGGGAGGAGAGCTCCTTTCCAAGTTCATTGTAAGCATTAGCAAGCTGAGCTTTGTGGTTCTGGGACACCGAAGTCGAGTGTCGGTGCCCGTTGACGGCCATTGCGACATGTGGGCCCAAAGAGCAGCGTTTAGCGGAAGAACTTTGTGAACGGAGGTCAAGCGTGGTGTCCACGAGCCACGGCGGACTTTCAAAGCTACGGGGTAAAAATCAACATACGGGAAGCCAGATAAACAAGTTGTCAATTGGATCGCTTTTCGAACGCGCCTCGAATGCTAAGTAATGTAAATAAACAAGCATTATTTATTGAAGTACGCCATGGGCGAACGACACGGATTGGAAATTAGATGGACTTGAACGTATTCCTCTATGTACGTGCACACAGACACTGGAAAAGTGAATGAAGGTTTGTCGGCAACCACATGTAAAGGTGATACTCATAGCGATTGACGGTAAGGAAACCTTACTGGTACCCAAGATTTTGCAGCACGGCTGTCAGCCTGGCACCTGCTGCCCGAGTGAGCATAAGCCTGGGCTCATCTTAAGCTTACGCGTAAGTACGCGCGCATTAGCTGCAATTGAAGGCACATCTAACTACTGTAACGGTAAGTTTTACAATGGTCAGTTGTGAATGATGGTATCACACAGGCTGCATCCCATCCGAGCAACGTCTGTTCAGCTCACAGTATGATACGTCTGTCCTACTAACTTCGTCATCGCGTTCAGAGGACGTATGCATGATTCCCGAATGCTTATACCGAGATGAACTTGGACAAGCTGTTGTACGAAGGCACCATCTCTTATAAGATATACCTGAACAAGTTAGCCACCGGGCACCACAGTAACTTCTACTTTATCTTTTTTTCAATGCTCAACAGGCCACTACAGACGGCACAATTAATATGGTACGCTGAATGCGCTAGTCCTAAGTATGCTCCATCCTGCTCAGCTCTCTGAACCCCATAACGTATTCATTTTCTTTAAATTAATTTTCAGTTCAACGTTACCTTCATCGGGGCTGGTGTCTGGCCCTTTAACAGGCGCAGCACTCACCATCAGCTTCGATAAAGCTATGATTGAACAATCAGTCATTTATATGTACTATTCAATTTGCCACGAGACGAATTTCAAGATTTTAAAAATGAGCGAAGTGCAGATTCGCAATAATCGACTTTGCTTTACTGATGATAATACTCGTCGAACCAGGATACCATACATACTTACAGCACATGCTCATGTCGGATACTCGAACCATGTGACTGGCCCAAAGTGCCTCACAGTGTTTCATTGCGGGCTCATGGTTCAAGAAACGAAGACATCCTATTCATAAATTATGATCATCACAGTCACACTTTCTTGTGCTTACATCACCAAACGCAAGGAGGTACATACGAAGGGAAATTCAGTCATGGCCTGTGCTGTGCTATGTCTTTCAAGCATGGACTTGATAACAGCAGCCTAAGGTCGAAGACATCGAAGGCTTCAGTTGACCACACTCTCAAGGCCCCACTGACGAATCTATACATATGTACTCAAGATTCAGCACCACACAAAAATGTAACTGAGAAAATCTAGTGACATGTACGGGTTTCACCGGACTAGACTCTGACGGAGGATGTTCGCCGCAGATGCCATTTTGGGGTCGCCGACCAGAGGAACGGAAAATTAAGATCTCGAGTATTGCTTTCAGCCCGTCGGGACACGGGTGTCGCGGTGAACAAGCTCGTGTTTTTTCTCGGCTAAGCCCATTGAGGTCTCAAGGCTGATTGACTTGATGTTTTCGTCCACCTCCGACTCGGAGGTGGAGATGTTGCTCGGGCGGACACTACCGTTAAATGATGTACGGACCTACGGTACGCCCGAAGTACGCCCACAGTCGCGTCCCGCCACGGAAAGCAGTGCTTGACGCGCCCTAACTTTCGCGGAGACGGGCACCGTGGCGAAGTGCGTTTGCAATGTGCACACTGCACCGTCAAATGATGCGAAGAGAAACTTCCGTTTTCACACGGACAGCCTACTTATTTGCACGTAGAATGTTGTCTAAGCATTGAGCATTCCACTAGAGTCGTAGTTCAGAGTCGAACCTGAGTTTTTGTTGATCTTCTCAGAAACGTCATTCAGGGAACTAGGCGCCACCTGTGAGAAGTTTGAAGGCCGTGGATGATGAAGTTTGCAACTTGGAACAATGTGAATCCGAATAACAGCAACAATAACTTGCGGAATTCAAAGGCGCAGCTGATCACTATGAAATGTCCAACCTCGCCGAATCAACCCAGAGCGAAGATTAGAGTACCCATAGATATTAACATGTACAACAGCGAGTCCCTGAGGGCGCGTAGAACGTATATCAACTAGTAACATGAAGATAAGTGTCGGACCGTAAGAAAGGGCGTTCAATGGTGTGTCGCTTTAACAATCGAAACGACAATGATTACAATGATAATCGCAATGGCGACACCAATGATGATGCGCATCTGTGAATACTCAGTGCCGGAATTTGAAATTAGTGTAGAATACGTCTTCATACCTTCATGTCCTTCCACCACATGTTCTACGCGATAAGGGGTTAGAACAATAATCTTCAAGGGCATTGGGATGATGAACATACCTTCCGGACACGATTCGCACCACGGCGGAAACCTTGCGCAGAGACAGCCAAATTGTCTGTAATTAGCTGTCAGCAAATGCCGGATCGAAGTGTATCCGACCAAAGTATATAGTGAACAGTCCCACAGCCCGATGACGGCCGAATAGTGTATTATCCTAACAAATTTCTGATAAGGGGGATGCACAACTGTCCTCACGGTCACTGAAACTCTACGTGCGAGGTAGCTTGTAATGGTCTTATGGACACATCGTGATGGACTGATAGCCAATTGAAGGTTCACAAAGACACACCTGTCTTATCTTGCAATTGGTCCAACCTCTCTCCTCGCTCTGCCACTTTCGTTATGTTCTCCCTCATGATCCCGACGGTGTCATCAATCTGTTGTTGAATGGCCGCAGTTTTGGCATTTCCCCCGGAAGGTCCGGAGGGATTGGACGAGGAGCCGCCGCGGGGAAGATAGGGATCATAAGGCTCGGACCTAAGATACGCATCGTAAGGGACAGCGCGGAAGGCAACGACCCGACAGTTAGACTGGAAGCGAAGAGTCCGGGGATAGAATGACTGACATGGCTAACGCGTATGAATCTGCGTTTAACGGAATGCGTTAACGCTCCAGGGCTCTTGTGGATTTCGATATGCTCAATGCACTCACCGTATCAAACGATGTCAAGGTAGGAGGAGAGCGTCGCAGTCGTGGGTGTCGTGGTCGTGGAGGGAGTCCGGCAGGCTCAGTCGTGACGGCAGCTGTTGCCGGCCAAACACGACCAACATCACGCTCTCCGCAGCGCCACATACAGCCTCCAAACAGCCTCGCGCCTCCGACACACTGCTTGGCTTCGTAATCCGTCGGCAGTCTCTATCCCAGTGAACTCCGGAGCACGAGGAAGTTCTTGAGGACCTATTATCTTTTATATAGCGCAAGTAGGTCGTCGCGTGGTTTGAGCAACATCTTGTTCCTTCAAGTGGTGATATCTGCGCTCAATACCTATAAGCGGGCACTGTCATAGAAGAGAGGAGCGAGAGGAGCGTCGCGCCATGAGTGTATAGATAAAAGGCTGCTCAGAGACTGTTTATAATTTTCAACGGTGAGTTCTTCCGTTGCCGGAGCACTAATGTTCCGGTACAAACGTTGAGGACTTCCATCACACTTTGATCGTCAAATATAACGAAAGGATAATACTCTTAAACTCATTTCCAGTCTGACTCTTCAAGCTTCAGGTGTTGGACTGTTTAGACCTTCCCCAGGTAGTCTCAACGTGATTTTGTTCTTATAATAGCATTCATGATCTCGGCCATAGATTCCTCTGACTGGGCTATTCTTTCATGGTTCTCAGCATGAGTCCCTCACGGATATGACCCTCAGCCCTGAGAGCCAGGCTTCATGTTCATCCTCTTGTGTCTTACGGGGCTCTTAGCCCGCTGCCTCTGCTCCTGGATGCTTCAATTAGTCGAACACGTAGTCGATTGATCCTCTGAACCGCAATTGCCGCCCATATTGGATGCTGTCCACAACACCATTGCGTCCGAAAGCTTACAAGGAAAGCTCATGTGTTCATGGTTCCGGTGGCATTCCATCCGGCGATTCGCAGCTTGGCGGTTGCAATACTCCTCCCACCGAGTCACCGAGCCAATTTTACGCGAACTCGCTGCATGTACAGTCCGAGACCCCACACTGTGTGTTCGCGCCTTCTCGCTCTCGCCGGTGCTTGCCTACCATTCCGACCGTCAGGAGTAGTATGCCCTTTTGTCATCGGTTTTCGACTTGCCAGAAGAGTGGCCGTCGAACTGATGCGCAGCGCATAGACATACAGGACCCTCCTGACGTCGTCGACTGCCGACACGAAACGTGGAAAGCTCTATATATACGGGCGGGCTCTCGACCCAAGATTGATTTGCCAATATCAACGTGAAGTATACCTACCCTAGGAAATGGATTCTGGAACATCCACCTTGGCCAGCTCGTTGGGTGCGATTTTTCTTGGTACGCACAATACTCACTTTTATCTTATAAATTCTCAATTGATACATCTCTGCAGGCAACATTGTTACAGCTACGTGCGATGCGATATCTGTCGTCGGAGTGTGGTGGCTTAGCTTACTAGTTTGGTCGTTTAGTTTCTTTGGACTCACAACGATCCAAACATATATATACTGCAAATGTCCTAAGGATGATTCCTTCGTCATGCAGGCCTTGGTACGTCTCTAACGCAAATGGCTATGCAATTAGTTGATTTATCCCCCCAGATTTTCGTTTTGTGGTGAGTCTCTCAGAAGCAACGGCATGTATGTATCTGCACGTTTTCTTCAGGGTGATAGATGGTCTGCATCTTGCGTTCTCCACGCATACCGTTTACTCTTATACGATTCTTGATTATGCGAATCTAAAGGAGCCGCAGGATGTAGTCTGGTAGGTTACTCTTGAGCTACATCTCTGATATGGCTAATGAATCAATCTTGTCACCAGGAGCTTGCCTGTAAGTAACCAGATGAACAACTTGTTGCTATTCAATTCTTGACCTCTGAGCTTTCCAAACAGGCGATGGTGCTGGTTACTGTGAGTAAGAAGTACGAAAAACGTTTTCATACGCTGACTTATCGATGCCGAGAAGGGCATGAGTGATTTAATTGTCAGAAGGTCCGTTGTAGACCTTCTTCGTCTCAATCTTCCTCTCAAACTGGCATACGTAGCCTGTTTTGCTATCGTGTCTGGAAACGTGAGCATATACACATAAATGCAATATAGAGGAGCTGACGACTCCTTCGATAAGTGAGCAAGAAGACATCTGATTGGAGTCTGGTTGTAGCGATTGTGAGTATTATGAGCTACCTTTGTTGCTTCCTTTAATTCTCGTATGGGGTAGATTCTCACGAGTATCGTGACTGTTGGTACGCCAGCTTTTGACAATCCTCGATATATTACTCATATTGCGAGGCATGTTGATAGCTGCAAGCTGGGGTAAGAAATTTTTACTAACTGCCATTGCGACACCGCTTACAACCACTGGTCTCTAGTCTATGCGTTTGAAGCGTATGTCTGCCCCATAATTTCCATGTCAGCTATCAACTATTTTTCACATAGCTTTACTGTCAAGACACTCGGTGAACTCTCGTGGCCTGTGTTCTCGGTCAGTTGTCAGTCGCCGATATGGATTGTAAACCAGTTGAACAAGCCTTCTGCAGCAACTCTTGTATGCTGGCCTTGTTAGTGCTCTTGTCGGTGATATTATCATCGCAGGGTCCTTGTGCATCTTGCTCACCAGCCATTGTACTGGGCTTTCAACGTATTTGTTGTATTCTTGCGGTGACGACTATCAGCTCACGCTGTGGAATGGTTTAGCAGAACCGACCTTGTCGTCCGGATTGTGATGTTGTATTCCGTAGAAACCGGTGTTGTCACCTGGTCAATACCCTTTATATCGCTTCTGCAGACATGTATTTGACTAACCTCTTATCCTAGCATTGGGGTCATCCTGTGTCTGGTTACGGTAGGAGTCCTGTTTTCCATCTTGAGCTGGTTAGCTTAACCTTCCGTTCCTACGGCCCAAGTACGCGACAATGCCAACCAACTACATTTACATCGCCATCTACATGACGTTATCGAAGCGTGAGTACGCTCTTTTCCTGCCAATCGCGATACCGTCAATCAACATATTTTTATCTTTAGTCTCTCTAAACTCCCTACTTGCTACTCTCAACGCGAGACCAAGTTTAAGAGCGCAAAGTGGGATTGTGTGAGGTTTTCGCCGTGACTAAATCAAACAGAATATCAGCTGTGGCACGGCTATACACGATGCCCGGTGAGCGATTGAGGTGTACTCTCATGTTACGCGGTTTGCTCACTCATGAGACCATATTAACTCCAGGTGTGAAGATGTATTCGCGATTATTTGTACACTATACCTCCGACAAGATTGCCTGGTTGCTATCCGCTGTTGAGGATCACATTCTTGTCCATCTGGGATTTAGAAACATTACTACCTTCCGCTATCCTATCCGGAGTTTTGGACTACCCACTGAGAAACTACTCAATTATCACCGTTCACATGACGAAATAATTTGTCTCCACGGCATTTCGTGTGACCAATCCTCCGCGGAATTTGCATTGTGTCTCGCCCAGCCACGGTGTAAAACCAAGTCTTTGCACCGCAGAATCAAGTTTGATTTGTTCCACTCATTCGCAATTCCACTACGGGAGTTAGACGCATCGTTACCCTAATCGACCCCTGGAGCTTGTAGCATGTATATATGTGAATAGACGATCGACCAAACCACCCGAGGTGCAACACAATTAGTTGTGAAGGAAAAATAAATCACACTACTAGATCTAGCTAGCTCGCTTCTTGGACTTCCGCTCCTTACGCTTTCTGCCGATCAATGAACCAACCTGTTGTCCTGATTTCGCCTTTTCTTCTTTTGCTTTTGTCGGCGAACCTGAATTTCCATGAGGTTCAGATGTACGTCGTTTTTTAATCGGACGTTCCTCTGATTGCTCTCTTTTAACATCGGACAGGGACACTCTCCGCTTCACTTTTGGTACTTCCCCCTTCTGCAGAGCCATGAAGTCAGCATCAACCGTTGCTGCACGACCAGAACAACGAACCTGGTGAGTGTCCCGCTGATGCGCTGCACGCCTCTGGACTACCTGCACATTCTCGATCGAGAATTCGACGATAAGCGTCCCTTTGTTCCTCGCTGGTGCACCACGCCCGAGTTCTTCCACTATCCGCTTGAGCCTAGTCTCATCTTTCTTTGGCTTTGCCTTCTCGATCTTCACCAGGTCTTCCAATTCAGCCTTCCACCACTCCTCGAACAGCGTGGCAACAGCTGGATTGTTGTTCGCCCACCGCAATACACGCAGAGCATCTGCATGTGAAGTCATCTCCAGGAAACCATATCCTTTGCTCCGTCCTTTTCCGGTGACGGCATCAACACGATCTGACTGACGCACAATCTTGGCTTGCTTGACTCCCGTAGGTCTACCGCCTTTTTTATGCTGCTCGCGTAACGGTTTCTTTGCGCCACCCTCGTCGACCTCTGTTTTTGCTGGCGTATCCTCGTCTTCAGCCACGCGAGCCTCCAGCAGTTCATCCTCACTAAGCCGCTGTCTTATTCCCTCCTTGACTTCCTTTTCGAATTTTCGCACCGCATGGATAGCTAGACGCTTCACGATGCGCTCCGTGACAAAAACAGGTAATTGCCGAATGCTAAGTCGTGTCCGCGAGACGTACAGCGACGGATTGGAACGAAGCAACGTGCGACGGGCGTTGAATGACTGTGTGCGCTTCTCCACTTCTGCAGGGTTCATAGTCTCAGCCGCAGGAGAGTTTGGAAGAATGACTGCGCACGCGTGAGGAGTATCATTTCGAGCATCCAAAACGAACACGTACTGCCTTCCCGCAACAGGTATAGATTCCGCTTGTCTGCCTTTTCTCGTTGCCTCTCTCCCTCTTCCTTCAGCTTGCCGGCCTCATCTCTGGTGACGGCGCGTATCACGTCCAGAGTTCGGCCTTGTAATACTAGATTCTGAGCTACGGATGCTGAGGGATCAGGTGTTAGGAGGGATGGGAGCTTAAACGGATTCTTTTTGTGCTTCAAAAACGTATGTCAGCCGAGTGGAGGAATATAGAAAGCAATCCTTACCACAGCAACTTTGTTGGTGACGGTTTCAGCGCGTAGAAGTTCACTCTGTTCTATTGCCTTGTCCGCATCTGCCTTGTTCCAAAAGCAGACGAACCCGGTGCCTCTCGAACGCCCAATCTCATGGTCCATGGTAATACGAGCATAGCGAAGAGGTCCGAAAGCCCGGAACCTGCTCAAACATTAACTCACGAAGGTGTACTTGTATGGCTACTCACAGTGTCCTAAGCTCATCCTCAGTCGCCTCAAATGGAACATTGCGGACAAACAGCGTCGTACCCGTTTCTGGGGGAGGCAAAACAGGCTTACTAGGCTCCTCCGCGCCGTCGTCACTACCGTCCTCTCCACTAGCACCACCTTTTTCTTCATACTCATCGTCGTCCTCATGAACTCCAAGGAGCTCTTCATCTTCGTCATCCCCTCTGTCACTGTCGCTTTCACTTGCACTGCTCTCACTCCCGCTGTCTTCATCGCCATCAAGCCTCTCCATCTCAATATCCTTCTGCTCAACCCTTGCCTTTTCCTTCTCCCATCTTTCCTTGCTCAATGCCCAGTCCACTGCAATAATCCTTCGTGTGGAATGCAGCTTCTTGCCAGCCACCCCCTCTTCCTCGCCTCCACTTTCACCACCATTATCTCCACTCAATTCTGCATGGCCCACCGCACCTGACGCTTTCATTATCTTCTGCTCCTCTCTTCTCTGCTTCTTCCGCTTCTGCTTGTCCGAAACCAGGCGCTCTGCCATGCCCGCCTCCACTGCAATCCCATTGCACTGTTCCATCGCGCGCTCCGCATCCATGCGGCTCAGCATCCACACGAACGCAAAACCTTTCTTCCGCGGCGCAGCGCTCGGCCTTACGTCCTCCTCTTCTGGTTTTGGCGCCTCCACAGAGGGTATGTCGATTGAGTAGATGGGGCCATATGGAAGGAACACAGCACGCAAGTCCTGCTCTGTGATATCGAACGGGAGATTCCGCACGATCAGTCTGCTCGCGCGGTTTGGCGCGGGACCTTTCTCCTTCGCTGCTTGTAGTTTCTTTGGTGCATTTGCTAGCCCATCAAGACGCTTCTTGAGAGTCGCGGAGAGTAGAGATCCTTTGAATACGTGCGCGTGGAGTTTATTCGCCGCCTCCATCGCAGTAGCCGGTGTCACGAAAAGGGCGTGGGCTGCGCTCGAATCGACGCAATCCACCTTCTCGGCACCTTCTAGCTTGCGTATCTTCTTCCATATCGTTTTTGAGTCTGCTGTTCTGGGTAGACCAGTAATGACTACTGTACGAATCGCCAATGGATCACGCGGCGCCGAGCTTGACGAAGGCCGTGAGGGTTTTGCTTTTCTTGCATCAAGGTCCTCTGGCCTCGTAATTTTGACCTTATTCTGAGACGACTTGTCCTTGCTCTGCGACAAATCTGGATATTCTGCACGTAGAACCAAAATTATGACATACTTTGTTATTTGGCCATTGCAGTCGCAAGCTTCTACCATCTAACGCTATACCTTCCCGATCGACCTTTTCCAGTGCCATTTGTGCATCCTCTTTGATAGCAAAAGAAACATACCCGACTCCTTTAGAAATACCAGAAGCCTGATCGAGGACAACGAAAGCAGATCGTACGGGCGCGAAGTCAGAGAAGAGGGTCTGTAGGTCGACAGAAGTGGCAGAATAGGGTAAATTTGAGACAAATAAAGTTGATCTATGAGGAGAATGTGAGCGTTTCTTCAGATGTGTAGTCGCGCACGCACCCATGACTTTCCGACAGATGCGCCTCATCCCCTTCACGCTGCTTACGTTTTCCGAGCGAGTTGGCCATCGTGAAGGCACTGAGATGATATCCCCGGCGCACGACCAAAAGGACTTCCGGTTGTGGAGTAGGAGGCTGAAGGATTCCAGATTGAATTGACCTTCACTCGGGACGGCAAAAAAGTAAGTTAGCACTCGACGCGGTACACGTGACTGTCGTAGAACCCCAGGCTAGCCGCGTCGCCAACTCCCATTTCTCTCTTGGAGTCACTTCCCACTAATACTGTATCCTTCCGCCCAGGTCGACGTCGCATTCGCTTCACTTTCCATTCTCAGCGATACTTCCAGGTTTGGAACATTCACAGCCGAAGTCGTCTAGACAGCCCTATGCGAGTCGTTCGCTGGTTATATTTGAGCAGGAAGACTTCCACGCAACCAGTCATCTACGAGTGGATAACAGAATCCTATCCTATTAGTCTAACGTACCAAGATGTTGAGGCTTACAAGTCAAGTGATATTATACCTCAGTCGTACGAGTTCTTCCGGTACGCGACCGCCACTCAATTTGGATTTGGCTGGGTCGTCATAATTTTTCAGGTTTTGGTATGATAGGGGTGTTGCACGCGCAGGACTCAACATCTTTTCTGTTCGTGATGGAGCCCTCACTCGCCGTAGGCGAAAAATTTATTTACATGAGAAACTGGTGGAGAGTCGTATAAAGGGAGTCGTACGTAGGGGCGAGGTGCCATTCGACGAGGTGCTGCCGGACGAGGAAAAGTTGCTGGAACGAGCTCGTTATATGATTGAGGTGGGGGGATACGAATATTCAAAGGGCCGCATTGCACCAAACTACAAAACGTACCAGTCGCCACGATGGTGGTCAAACGCAATTGTGGTGCAAGACCCGTTCGTGATGACACATGTGAGTCGACTGTATTTTCAATTTGTACCAATTATCGCGTTACTTACTGAGGCACTTTGTTTCTAGACCCACACGGAGTTCGTCACTAGAGAGATACTCGAGTTCTTCGATACCCACGCTAAGCGTACAACTCAAACCTTCGAGCGAAGAGGACGTTTGACCTCCATTTTTGGACCCCATGTATCAATATCTGAAGCTGCGTGGGCCCAACGTCAGGTTCGCAAAGGAGAGCGTTTGGCTGCGGCGGGACGGTCACTCCACACATCTGCCCGCTCGAGGCGTAGTCTCGATCCCCCAGAATTTGCGGTCAGCGTGTCGAACACTGTAAATGTTCCCAGCTCACTTCTGCCTTCAACAGCCGCCTCCAGTACCCCAAGAAGTTTTGCAGAAGCGTGCTGCTACGATCGAGCGAATCAAACACCTTATCCAGAACAAATACGGCGCTCAGTATAAGATTGAAATGTTCGGGAGCACTTGCTACGGTAGCGATTCCCCTCACAGCGATCTCGATTTGGTGATTGTGGTAAGATGGTTTATACGTCCCGGGCAGCATAATCCCTTGACGTTGGACACTTCATTTGCGTTCTAGGATCCACACAGGCCTCATGGAATCAGGCCAGATGATCGATCTCTTCCTCGTAGGTGCCCTATCTGAGTGTCGCTTGGGGGTCGGTGTTAATTCGAAGCTTAGCTGTATATGATATTCAGTAAGCCTTACGACCCAAATTCGACTCGGTGTACTGATGCATGAATAGCCGTTTAAGCTATCGCATCAGGACACAGTTCGCCAAAGTGGAGCCTGTGGCAAAAGCCGTTGTACCTATAGGTTAGTATAAACGTCAGTGGGTTAAATATCTCACTGCTTATAAGCCTCAGTGAAGTTCAAGGATCTACGAACTGGCTTATCTTGCGATCTTAATGTCAACGATCGGCTTGGAATAGTAAATACTGCATTGATCAAGCGGTATTGCGAGCTAGCTCCTGTGCTGCCGACAATGTTATTCGCTCTCAAGTCATGGGCGAGACCTCTAGGGTTAAATGACCCGTCCGGATCTCAGCTGCGGCGAGGGGTGACGTTTAGTAGTTATGCTCTTGCTCTAATGACAATCGGTCGATTGCAAGTAGGTGATGTCCTCTTATATATCTCTTCCTATCATTAAGCAAGTTTCGTCGACTATCCTTGCAGATGTTGGGATTGCTCCCCAATTTACAATATCGATCAGGGCGTCAAGCTTCTAACCCCAAGAACAACGGTGTCTACTGGTTTCGCCGTAAGGACAGAGCCGCCAAAGCGTTTGAGTATATTCTTTGCAATACCGCCTATGCAACTGGGGATGATTGGATCCCTACGGTTGTAGACGTTCGGGAAGCTCTCATAGATTGGTTCCGGTGAGCCTTTCCTGCTCTCCAGCGATTGTTGTCTGTAGCAGACACGGACTAATGTGCGCAGCTATTGGGCCGATCAGCATCTTTATTCGGAGAATGCCATGAGCGTATTGCATGGAGGTGCACTTCCAAGGCGGAAAGTCATGCTAGATGATTACTTACCAGTTGGTATTTCTGAAATTCCAATGGGCAATGATCCGGTGAATGAATTTGGCATTAGCGTAGTTCGGCTTGTCTTGACACTGAATCTTAGCTCGACTCGTCCAAAAAATCTCGTCAGGCTACTCAATGGAGCGACACCTCTCTTTGTATCGGGGATCCGTTCATTTCTCGCAAGGTTAGCTCCTACAACTGACGAATCAGCTCTCACTGATTGTGCTCCCGCATTCTCTAGAATCTGACCGCCAATATAAGCGGTCTTGTTCTCGAAAACTTCAGAACTCAGTGTCGAATGGCCTGTAGTCTACTTCAAGATGGTTCCAGCTTGGAGATGCTCTTCCGACGCCTCAAGAGACAAACGCAAAGCCCTTGAATGTGTCTCAATGTACTCCACTTTATCTAAGCATCTGATTGACGTTTTTCCGTTTCGCTACACCTGGCAAAGGCATTTCAATACTCGATGCCCTGCCTGCGAAATTTGCAGATGTGCAAGGGTGCCTTCCCACATATAAGGATACAGTATACGAGTCTCAGCTTGTATGACGAAATATTTTCAGTCGTCCCCAGTCTCGCGTTCGGTTCCTAATGCCTATGGCGATATTATGAGTGCAATTACCAATTCCTTAGATATAATTTATCGTATGTCTTTCTTCATACTAGCTTCCAGCCACCCTTCGATGTCATCGGTCGAACGCTGACGACTGAAGTTAGCCAATACAATTGAGTAAGCAGAAGCGAAAGTACTTTAACCCAAGCGGCCCTGGATGCGATATTACTCAAAGTCGATTGCAGGGCCAACCGGTATCTAGCCGTGTCCTTGTCCTACAACGAGTACATTTTTCAACACCGAAAATGAGTCGCTAGTGACAATCTAAAGCCTACCTTGAAGAATTCGGCAGTTTCCTGATAATCCTATTCCGACGACAAGAGCTGGAAGGCATGCTGTTCAGATTTCGCAGAGCATCAGCGTAAGTAGTTTCAGGGAATCCCGTGCCATTACCGGTATAAGGTATCGCATAGTGAAGTTGGTTTCAGTGCGCTTTACGAGCTAGAACATACCGTCAGATTTTGAAGCCCCAGAGATTTTTTTAATAATACACGCCAATTGGAAATGTTGTTTGAATGCCAATACCAGGAACCTCCTTGTTCCAGGATTTTCTCCGAGTCCGTATATTGGACATACCAGATCTTGATCCCGGCATTCGGATAAAATATACTGGAATGTCTCCTTAGCAAGCTCAAGGTCGGAAGTGTGACCCATTGCTGTCATTGCGGCAATTCCGGACGCAGGGTTCTTGGGTCTGCTGCCAATTCGCTTCACGGCATTCCACTCATCGCGCCCTCCGTAACGGACAGCCTAGCTTAGCGGTCAATATGGACATATTCTAAATTCAACAAGCTGCGATGACTCACAATTGTGTAAATTATCCCTTCTAGATCTGCAGGGATTGTTGAATCATCGCCAGTCCGTATATAGTGCGCAAATCGACTGGTCAGCTCTTGAATCACACTAGCACCGAACTTCAATACATAAAATAAATACACAATATAAACACATACCTCAGGTCTCCACTCAGAGCGGCTCGAGTAATCGACAGTTCGCGCAATGCGCGAGAGTCCACGTCCTCTCCTTCAGAAAATTCGTACCCAAGCCGTTTCACAATAGGAACAAAGATACCCTGTAGTTCATCATCAATAGGTACGCATTGCGAGACACGAATCGCTGACAATTCACCCGTTCAAACGCTTGCAATGATTCAACCATATTAGGATATTCCCACCAAACTGAGGAGAGTATGCTAAGGTTCCCCGCGATACTCTTTAACACAACGACTTAAAGGCATTAATTGCATAGACGAACACAATACTGTGACGACGATCTTATACTTACCTTCGGTTTCATCCCGCAGGACGTCAATGAGTGATAGCGCACTGCTGACTGTTGCCAAACCAGCTCTCGCTAGCTCCAGTGCATCGTACACAAGGCCCAGACGATCGACAATAGAGAACAGCGATGGATTTTTCGCTGCTTCTTTTCCAATTGCAACTAATCTCTCTGGCGTATAGAGCACGCGACCTGTAAAAAACAAACAATTTGAGCTGATGATCTACATTGAGATGAATGCAGAAACAGACAGAAACTAATAGTTCCAGCGTTGAGCTTGAAAGGTTTAGATATATCCAAAGATATGGTCTTCTCTCGGCTGTCCAGCACGGCCTGAGTATCAAGGAGAATGTCGCCATTATCTGAGACACTCAGGAGGCTCAAAGGGACAGTCCTGCGAAAGAGGTAAGGGCCCCACGCTCGTATCTTTGTGGGTAATTGTTACCAGATCGTCTCATTTTCATCCGGCGATGCAGGGCCCGTCTCCAGGAAGCGATCTTGGCGAAGATGGATGCCATCTTTTGTTTCAGTTACTGTGATGACCGGATAACCGACCTGTACATATGAGTCGGCTTCAAGTCCATATATTCTTCCTGAAATCCATTTACCTTTTTGATCCAGTTATCCATTAGTTTTGGAATATTCAGACCTACCATCATGATAATGAATCCACAGTCTGGGCATGGCAAATGACGAATTACCTGTTGCTTCCTGAATACCCTGCCAAAGGTCTTGAGTAACGCTGTTCGCATACAGGTGTTTCTTGAGATAGATAGTGACACCCTTTAAGAAGCTGTCCTCTCCGACGAACTTTGACAACATGCGCAGAACTATGCAAACGTTACGGCTGCCGAATGACCTGACAGAATAAAATCCTCACCAGAAGCAGCTTTGTGGTACGAAAGCGCGTCGAATATCTCCACGGCGTTTTAAGCCATAGATACTATTTGAGCGCATAGATGTGGTTCTTACTTGATTTATCATATTGGAATCTGAACATTCAACTTCCACTGGATGTGAGGTTTTCTTCCCATCGCGCTTCATAGACATATTCATAGACTGGACGACGAAGTTGGCGTCTGACTTCCAATCCGGGAAAATCCTGTCATGGTGATGTAGATCCGGTATTACTCTCTAATTGTAACTGTATAACTACTTATCTATACTTAGTGTGAACACATAGATTCACTCTAAATCTGGTATTGTTCTTCACCTAATATTGTAACTTTGGCCATCTGGAATGTATATCATTAATACGCAGTTCGGACAGCACATCATCAACACATTACTGACTAAAGTAGCGAAGCCTTGTGAAGAATAAGATCAGTGTAATTGGTTGCACGCTTGAGCAGCACACACCTTCGTTGAGGTACAGGTTATCCCACCATTCCATGGTCGTGATGTTGCCAAACCTGCAGGGGCAGTGCAATCAAAACAAAAAGCCTCACAACACAGTATCTGAGAATAGCACTAGCCACATATGAGCTACTTCATGGGTGACCGTCGTCGCTATTTGTCTCTTCACGTTTAGACTTTCTGCCTTTGGATCAAGCAAGAATGCCGAATTTCGGCCAGTAATCAAACCCTGATACAGTGCAATTAGTTAGTACTCAATCAGTACGCTCTCTGAAGGGCTACGTGCCCAGTTCTCCATCGCATCTGTATAAGGAGGCAGGAATAAATTGGGGACAGTCTGGATAACAGCGAGAACTTACTTGCATCAAAGTCACTTACGACCAGTGTGTCGAGCTTTGGTAGTGGATATTCGATTTGAAACACCTGCTCATACAGTACAAGCGCTTGACGCTTGACGTCCAGAGCGAATCCAGCCTGGTGGATTGAATCGGGGTGTGCTGCGACATGTTAGCAAGAGACAACATATATGCAGTGCCTATCCTACCGTACAAACGCAGCGGTCGGATTTTCCCGCTCAGAGGACTCGTGTAGAAGCTTTCCAGATACGCAAAATGACCATTCGCGTACGCCAACAAATATGTAGACATCTGCGAAAGAGTCAAAATTTAGCAGCGAAGCAAAGGACACCTGGGCTACCGGCGGAGTGGTCTCGAACCGCGTCATCTTCCACTGATCATTTGAGTTCGCAAGTCGCCCATCTAGCCATGCGTCCAAGCCAGTCGCGTATCCTACCTCGGACACAATTGGCATGTTACTCAAATTCACTGTGTCCGCACGGGAAATGAGAGTCACCGCGAACGTAGCCTTCAGCAGAGGCTCATCCCAGCATGGTAAGGCTTGCCGCGCAGATGTTGGCTGGGCATGATTTGCTTATAGTCAATACGAGGGACTTTGGTACATACCTCCAAGGTGCTTACCTCGAATTGCGTGATGCTACAGATGTCCTTTGCGTCTGTTCCACCTACGGAGCGATAGTAGCCGATCAGTGAATCTGTAAGCCCTGCTGTGAACCTGACGTCAAGCACGGCCTTCGAACTGGCAGGAAGGGCAGTGGATAAGGTGACAATTGCGCGTTCCGTCTTCGTGTCGAATGAGGTTGACGCCGCTGTCTGCCCGATACCCAATACGTCCGAATAGACAACAAGCTGATATAATTCCAAGTCTTTGGTGTGAAAAATGATTTGCGAGGTTTGTTCCTGCACGTCCAACCTATAGTCGCGAAACGGTTTTTCAAATGTGCTCACGTTGCGGCGATTGCACTTACTTCACTTTAACGGTTCCATAGAATGTTGAGTTGACCAAATCCGTAACGACAGTCAGATCGTAATGTTTCGGCCTCACGTTCGTAGGCAGTCGATTTGCGGTTGAGTCAGACATGGTCACTATGGTGGTCGACGGATGAGCCTGTGTTAAGATTGTGCTCGAGTAAGATGAAGTCTTCTTGAGTCGTCGCGCGTCGTGGTAACAATGAAGTAGATATCGATTATCATACTGGATAGCAGCAATATCCCAGGCTGTCATCCGATATTGTCACAGACTCGGAGATGGCTGGCAGCGCATGGGCATCAATACAATCAATAATTCATTTGGCTACATGACTTGGATTTCAGTGTCCTCAAGCCTTCGGAAATGCTTTCGGAAATGCAGTACTTACCAGGAGATTAACTTGAACTTGTGAGTCAAGCAATGATCATATAGTTGAAGACTGATGGTGAAACTTGCTACCAAAGTTTGGTGGCTCATCATCATCATCATTATGTACCATCTCTGATCTTACTATCATTGCACCAGTAATGCAACTTTTTCAGTATCTAGGCTCCCTATAGTGCAAATCTTACCAGAATGTTCCGGAGTTTTCACCAGTCAATGAAGAATGTTCGAAAGTACACACATGAATTTCGTAGGCTCAGTATGTCAAGAATTAAGCAATACCGAGAGCAAAATAAAATCACAACAGTCTCCGAGGTTCACGTCGCGTCAACCGTCACAATGCCGCGCACCCCGTTTTCTTTGTCCGCTCCGCGTTCAGTGGCTGGACTGCGAAGCTATGCGAAGTACGCCACTACTACCATCGGCTGAGTCAAGATTCACGATGCTGATTGTGGCTGAATGTCACAGATTTGAGTCGCTATCGTTCGACACAAATTCAGGAGGGGTTCGCTGTGCAGATTATTCCGGAGAAATTAGAATAAGAGTGTGTATGTTCTTCACATGGCCATGGTGCGTTATTGTGTCAATCGGACATGGTGATCACATGCCCAAGGCCACTCTTGATTGAGATGTAGTCCTCAAAACACACTTGCGGGGCATTCGAGTCGCTCTCGCATTTTTCATTCATACAAAACCTACACGGTAGTGATCATACTTGTATTTTGTATCATACATGATTTATTGGTGATTTTAGAGGTGGAGGAGCAGCCGGAAGTTCAGTAATTGCACTACTGTTGCGATTGCATTACTGGTGCAATGATAGTGAGTCCTGACCAGAAGACATCTTAGTAGATAACTGCGTAAAGTTTTCATCCTGGCTTCGTCCAAGCATAATGTATATGTAAACTATCACAATCATTCCAAACCAACCCCTCAACGCTCAGCAGATCTGGCACCCGTCATCATACTACTCTTTGATTTAAGCAATTCTGGCGAAGGCTGGCAGGTAATGGAGTAACATGCGGACATGCCCCAATCCGGAGGGGGAGAAATGCTACAGCAGTCATTCAAATGAACCATGGATACACATGTGTCAGTCATAATTCTACAACATCATCCCCAAGCCCTAAGCGGTCTTGACACCGCCCCAGGCGACCCTTTGCCCTCCTGTACGTGGTGCACTGGCAGGGGCGTCGGAAGTCCCACTGGTAGCTACTGGCGCTGCATTCAGTTTTGGCAAGGCGGGAAGGGGAGCGTTGCGAAGCGTGTCAAAAACACGCTGCGCATGCTCTGTATTTCTGATGAACCAGCCGGCATAACGCCGTCCGACAGTAGACTCAGCGATATGAACCATGTTCTGCAGCAGAGATCAGCTTCCGATCCACAAAGAGAACAAGAAAAGGATACTGACATCGTCAATAACAAAGTCTAGATCGCTGGTTGAGATCGTCTGGCCATCGAGCAGGCCCTTCTCATTCTCGACCCGACTCACGCTTCGACTAGCCTGCTTCATGACCATCATCTGTTGTACCATTTCCTCTTCGTCAGCATCTAAGAAATTTGCGAGTTTCTTGGCGTCAAGTGACGCGTAAAGCTTCAAAAAGCTGCGGAGTGTCGGCACCGGCGCTTGAGAGCGCACCTCAGAGAGGAAAAGTGCAAGGTGCCGTTGCGCAGGCTCGACTGGTGGGTCTTCAACGTAAGCTGCGAGCAGCTCAGCATCATCGTACGGTGGAGGATTCGCTGAAATAAACTTGGGACACGCATACAAGAAGAGCTCCTCAAAAGCAGGAATCCCCTCCTCCCTAGATGACGCGGATCAATGCTATACCCAAAAAATGTGTGATGGCGCAAATTACGCACCCACGAGACATTTTTGAAAATTGCTCGCCATATCGTTCCTTGACGATCCCAGAAATATTGTCATCTAGTCGAGTAGGCGAGAGTGCGTTGCAGATAGCGAATAGCGCATACATGCGATCAGCCGTTTTGTTGATCTATGCCACTCATTAAATCAAAAATAGAGGAGCATATCAATGGATTATCTACCTGGTCGTACTGGTAGCTTCTCGTGTGATATTGCCGCATCCGGAGGATGAAGTTCAATATCGAGACAAATGCTCGTATCGCATCTGGGTATCGTCGCAGCATGATGTAACAGAACCCAACGTAGTAATAGGTGGTAACATGGCAAGCCGTGACGCGAGTGAAGGGCGACTGCAGATAAATCAGCTCGAGAAGGCAAACATAAGACGGAATACTTTACTTTTTGGTTGAGCTCGATACTTTCCATCACTTTCAACGCAAGCGTGAAATCGCCGAGTAGACTGTGTACTCGCAGGAGTCCAATAAGGCTGAAGTATCCAAGCATACGGTAGAGAGGGCGAACGCCAAATTCACCAACAATCTCGCTATTAGCGGCGATCAGTAAAGCATCCCGACTAGGCATTATGACGACTCACGCGATCTCTTCCGCTTTCTTTCCTTCTTGCAGTGCACTGAGGTGCTCATTGATTTTGGATTTTTGTATCAAAGAGTACAGGACGTTCAAGACACTGTACGAGCTCCACACCTGGCTCGCATCTGCGAGTAGGATGAGCTCCTCGTCCGTCTTTGACTTCACTTTTGATCTCCAGACGCAGAACGCCTGATACTGATAGATGAACTCGTCAATTATGTCCCAAAGCCATTGCTCCGGCAGTTCAAGGGGAACCGGGCCATCCGAGTCTGCAAAACGTGTGAGACATGGGACAAGCTAGTGGATCCGGAAGCTACGCACTAAGCAGATAGTTGAACAGCTCACAGCTGTTCTCGTATGAGTGGAATCGGTCATCAATGTCGGGTTGAAGGCGAGAGTAGACGTGACGGTAGTAGAGTTCGCGGTAGAGGATAAGGAATATCTGATCTATAGCAAGACATGTAGCATTGACGAGGAAGGAAAGATAAGATACTACTCACCATCGTTCACCAACGGCGCGATCACCTCTGCCTCTGGCCACTCCGTCTTTGAGTAGAACTTTTCCGTTAGTCGGTTCCAACCGCTCTCGTAGGCAACGGTGATCTCTGCGAGATTGTTGTCCAAAACTGCTTGATGAAAATGCACGATGAACTACACGGTGTCAATCATTACGCAAAAATCGGCATGGTTGGTTTTACCCGTTTAACAACATCTGGTATTTGAGAGAACGCCGCTTGCTGCGCCATTTGCTGCTGCACAGCTAACAAAGTAGCCTCGTCTATCCGCGACTGGGCTGCTCCGCAGATGAGCAATGTTTTTTTACGAAGACCAGACCATACTCACCATCGTCATAGAGACCACTCTGGCCGTAACTCCCAATGGCGAGGTTCAAGTCAACATCCTGTAGATCTTCGTCGAGCTCGGCTTCCCAGAGAGCTTTTCTTTGCTGAGACATGGTGTACACAGTGTGAGCGCAAAGCTTGCAAAATGTGATAGAGATCAGTCGCCGTACGATATACTACCGATAATGCGCTGTGGTATCTTACTTAGTTAAAGCTTCTAGTTTATTATTTCGATTACCTAGAATTAATTCCTGTAAATGACCAAACTATCCGCGTAACCGGAACTCCCGACTTTGTCTCACGCCCTGGACCCGTTGCCGTCATCGACTGTATCCCCTCCCCCTTCTCTATCTCCGGCCCTGTTTAGCTCAATGTCTTCTTTAGCCAGGTTAACATCTCTTTCGACACAAACATTGTCGTTGCTACTCGAACGCCAGCGATTACAGACACTAGCGAACCCCAATGCCTCATCTCTCCACATACCCCAGATCGCCCGTAATATGCAGCAGCTTAATTCCGGGGTGCTTGAACTAGAAGAGAGGGAGGGCCGAACTGATGCTGTGAAGCTGCTTAGGAGCCAGTACGAGCGGATGCGGGGCATGCTCGGGCAGGAAGGTGAAGCTGCGGGTGTGCAGAGGTACGCCTACGGTCTCCTTCTCGTCATGCAGCTTGGTCAACTTGAAGTACGCATATCTCAGCTTTGAGGACCTGGTATCCTCACCGTCTACGTCCTCACTGTCCTCAAAGCCTTCGTCACCTGCCCCACCGCCGCCTATATCGGACAAGGAAAGCGAGCCTTCTTTTGCTCCATACACCGACGACCCGGAAGCAGGCTACCCCTCGTCCGAGGAGATGCTGCAGGCGCAACGACAGATGATGGACGAGCAAGACGTGCACCTAGACCGCCTCTCGCAGTCCATTGGCCGACAGCGAGATATATCACTCCAGATCAACGATGAGCTGGATGTGCACACTGGTTTGCTGGAGGGACTTGATCACGACTTGGACCGGACAGATGGCAGGCTAAGTGGCGCTAGACGACACTTGGATCGCGTAGCAAAGGGGGCGAAGGATAATGGTATGTTGTGTTTCCTCAGGCTACTGTCTGCTGCGAATTGCCGACCATCCCATCCCATCTGGATGTAGGTTCAACTGTGATGATCGCCATCCTCATTTTGGTGCTCCTCATACTCATCATTGTCTTCAAGACATGATGAGCTTTGCCAGGGCATATACACTTTGTGCCCTGGCTGTATGATTACTTATCCTCTATCTAGTATTTGGTCTGCAGGAATACTTCCTAGCATGTTTCGGACTACGCGCGACTAGATGAATGTTTGAGACGCTGTCCGACAACATTACTCGGACTTATCTGGTCACTTTTAAGACACGACATATAGCCGTTTTATTAAGCACAATAACGCACTGTGAGCTAATCGAAGTGTCTAAATCGTATATTATGCTCTGTTACTATTTCACAGGCAGCGAAGCCATTATGGTTCTATTGCTGGTTTCGTGCTTGTGTCACCGGTAATTTCATGCGGAATGTACGCGTATGCATCGTGACCTCGCTACCCGCACTAGGCGTCCATATGGACGAATTGCTCACTGCTGGTAACCTACGCGGCTACATGCCAACCAGAATTCACTCCCGCCTTCCTCGCACCACCCTAAAGGACCTAGGTCGCATTCGGCGCAGATAAGCAACTTCACCCTTTTGGTTGTATCTGCAAAGATGGTCACAAATACTCCTGGGAGGGTTTACATTTAGCGAGATTATACTTACCGTCCGAAACAACCGCACGAGTGAATCCAATGTTTTCGAAGGCCATAGCATTAGGTGTCACCAGCCACCAATTCATCGTCTCCGGCGGAGGGGGAAGTAGCACAAGCGGGTTAGGAGTAGTTCTTTGAGGTGGATCGAGTTGCATGCTCGCTCGCTCGACGAGGGATCCTACACCTGCCTTGAGGATGATGCTCCCGCAGCCGCTCCGCGGGCACAGAAGGTCGAATTTGTTACTCAGGGTCCCCATCCCGTCGTTAGATACAAGATCCTGTGCGCCATTGGGAAATGCAGCAAGCGCCAGAGCCTGTGGCCGGTTTTTTGAGCCTGATGCGCGCTGCAGTGCTTCCCAGATCCCAGGTGGGGGCGCCACAGGCTGCGATGGACGACTAAGATCCCGGCGCATTTCGAACCATGGATTTGCGCCATGCACAACTGAGCTCTTTCCTACCCATTCAAAACCCGCTTTCTCATATAAGCTCCTCAACTCCTCATGCGCAATTAGGAGCACTTGCTTGTACTCCACACCGCTCTTCAGCGCATACTGTAGCCGCGAGATGTATTCATTAAGGAGACTGAGAGCGACGCCTTGTCTTCTGCATTCTGGAGACACGCAGATGGAATGTATGCACACAGAGGACGAACCGGGGACATGCGTCGACATCGATTCGTGCGTGAGTGTTTTTGCGGGCGATAGAGTAGCGCAGACATAGCCTATAAGCGTACGGCCAGAGTCCTCGAGAGTATAGGCGGCCAAAAATAGTTCTGGTGCTCGAGATTGGCGATATCTAAGTTATGCGCGTGAGGGTCAGGTAATGACTAGAATTTGAGATTACTTCACCGGAAAACATCCAAGCTGGCCGCCTCATCGGCTGGATATGAGGCTAATTCTATCGCATGAGCAGCTTCAAGCTCGTCCTCCTTCAATAAGTCAAAGTGAATCGAGGTCATTTCGTGGTAGCGGAAGTGATGAATGCAGATAGAATGTGTCGATTGGTATTAAGCGCCCGATGCTTCTTCCTCTACCCCCAGCTGCGATTCCGTTTACCGGACATTCTCCAAGTTATGCAAATCCCAACACGCAAAATTGATTTAAAGTTGTCAATGAGATCAAAATCAATACAACTGAGAGTGTTGTAACAATGTCATTGAAAGTATGACGACATGGGGTTAGTGGCACCGTGACAGGCCGCTTTTTTGTCAGGCGGTGGGTGAGTTACATGTTCGTGAGTAACCATATTTTTAGGAGGCTCACCAGCTGACAGAATGCGGGACAGCACACTAGCCTTTTGATCCCTCAAGAATTACCGTGGGATCCTGATGCCCACCTGTGTGGAATCTCCTATGACATGAGTGATAACTTATCTTTCTTCGACACATCTAGGAACGAGGTCCGAACTCACCAAACCTTGCAACCCCATTTAGAGCTAGCTGGCCGACAATAGTCTTCGTTGGCAGATGAAATGGTTGCTGCTACTAGAACATCGAGTTTCAAGTGACCAAGCGCTTGTCCGACTGCACGGCAGATACGTTGAAATACAGTCTCATGCCAGGATGTCAATAACTTCTAGTGTTTGTCTGATACAACTGTCCGAGGGTTTGACATCCGTGAGTTCAGCATCCTGCGTTCTTGATTTGTACAGCTGGTCCATCTTCCTAAGCAGCTCGCATGATCCCCGCATGTACGTTCGAAGTGTTCGAACGCCGATTGTCATTCCGCTCCACTGTTACAGTATTCTCCTTCCCCTAGCAAGTGGAATCGGTCAATTTTCGGAGACCTTAAGCAATAGCGAAGTTGTGCGATCTAGTCAAAACTGATACATATACCAATGGCATGTTATGATAAGTCACAGCCTTATCCTGCGAGATGGCGGGTGCTAGTGACACATACAGTTATTATGACTATTTGCAAAGATCTGAGTACATCTGTGGCGTATGCAAAGGCGTGCGTTGCCTTTAAGACAAGCAATGGAATATGGCAGCCTCAAGATCTCGCTTCATGACTCAGAAGGAGCGGGGCCTTCGGACGGTTGGATAGATGATGGTATGTTGTTTCATGTTAGTGAGAAAACCTATCACCTGGGAACAGGTGAGCAGACCTCATTCCGATTCGTCTCTACTTTCGTGATGTATTTCAATAACTTTCCGGGGGTCAAACTTTAATCCGAAGGATCTTAAGGGGAGGCCTCAGTAGCGCACCAAAACCCGTACCCCATTTGTCCAATACACATGTCTATAGCTCAGCCAAGCTTTCCACTCAATACAACACTTGGTGCTGTTTTCATCTGTACGTTTGTGAAACTGCTCGTAGGCTGAGCATCTCTTAATGCGCGATGCAGCTATAACTTTTGTATCTATGTTAGTCAAGCAGGATTTCTGGTCAATGAACGAGGCTGATGATTCGGGAAGCCTGTGCGGTATCACGTCAGCTCAGACACTCTTTTTCTACAAGACGTATGCAACGGATTCCAGTCTTCTCAAGATCACGGTACAATCAAACTTTCAGCGATTTTTACGGGGGGGAATAACCGTATATTTTCTCCCTAGGTGCTAATTCTATGGTATGTCATCGACAAGAGTGGTATACAGTGTATCGCGAAAGGTGGTATGATGCCGATACGCCCGCTAGGTTACTTGATCTTGCCCATGATATTTTTTTGCTCGACGCTCTGTACGAACGTGCTGTGATGGGACACTCGCACTGGTCTGGATTTTTTGACATCTCATGGTGCGTTCTATCCCAATTGATCATATCGACGGGCTGCCATAATGTTGCGGTCATTCTCTGACAGGAGTTTAGCGGTGAGTTAGCCAATTCTGAGCCTGTATACAGAATCAAGCTCATATGTGTCAGGCTCACGTCACAGTCAAAGTGCGTCGCATGTCATGGTACGAGCTTGGTTGAAGCTGACCAAACATGGGATACTGAAGGCATTCATCGATCTGTTGGTCCGAGGGTAAATATCCACATTGTTCATCGCACCATCATCGGATACTGATTTAACTCGTCTCTCTAGAGTCTTCACTGTGCGGATATGGAAACGCAAGCTTGAGTTTCAAATTTATTGAAGTGGTCTAACATTTTCCATAATAGTGAGCGTACGGAAGAAGGGTCTCTTAGCAGCTAACGTGATGACTTTGTCACAATACTTGATGCGTTGATACTCATCTCGGTGTAGGTCATAAATAACTTTCTTGCAGTTGGTGCGTGTATCTTAATTTCGTGAGATAAGACCCGGGTATTCACGACTTTCAGGCCTCAATCTAGGTACGATTATCGATTTTCCTGCGGATGATTCACCGATATTGTTCATGCAGCGGTCAGCTTTAAATTGTGCCAGCGACTTACGTACCACACACGGAATTTATAGCTTACCAATTGGCCCACAGATTTCATATACCAACTTACTTTGACATGAGCGAGATATTCGTGAGCGGCGCATTCATCCGTCCCATTTGATTGCTGCAGCTTGAGTCAGTATCTATTATATGTTGCATATGCATCAGAGGTTATTGCGGACTTCTTGATCACGAGCTCGCTGCTGTACTTGCTATGGCGCAGTCGGACCGGCTTTCGTGGGTACGGCGCAAGCTATATCTGCAATTTCGTGCTATACTCATATGGCTGAAATAGAACCGACTCCCTGATAAACATTCTCATGCTATATAGCGTGAATACTGGTTTACTTCCGAAGTGAGTGTGTACTGTTGCTTCCCTATACCAGCCGTTCACGAAAGATATGTTTTCAGTGTATTTTCAGCATGCGTCATTGTGACTGTGAGTTCACCTAACCAATACACTGTTCATAGACGCACACCGCCTGATCTTGGGTTTCCACAGCACCTGACTATGCCAAACAACCTCATTTGGATCTCGATCTACTTTCTGCTTCCAAAGCGTGAGTGCATATCTAGCGTTAGGATTGCCGCGTACTCAAGTTCCAAGCAGTGGAGCTGAACTCAATGTTGGCAACACTCAATGCAAGGCGTCACTTGCGGCACCTACAGGAGACCAATAGGGACGTCAACTTGTCAATCCCACTCTCTCAACCAAGTGGATCATCTATGTCTAATGAAGCTGGATCGCTCACCTCTTCCCATCACCCTGGAGTTGAAGATCAGGTATGTACATGGCATGGCATATGATGCTAGCATGGTGCAATGGTCAATGGTTGATTCTTGTCAAGGTTAATGCTATTCGACAGGGCGGTCCGTATGGCTAACGTCATACAGACACGTATTATTGCGGTGTACATACAACGGTAACCTTATATCATGTTATGGATGTCTGACACCGTAGTGTTCGCTCAGTTGAAACTACCAGCCAAACCCAACACCTTGCTACATTCAATAGATTGAATACAGAGCATTTCACAGTCTACAACATTGTGTACTGTATTTGACGGCCAATTCATACAACAGGGACCCCTAACTATATATTTGAAGCGGAGACCAAGGCTACATGCAAGTCCGTGCTGACGCGCGCACGAATCCCGACACGGGGGTTATCACGATAAACAATAGCAACATCGAAAAATACCATAGACCAAACACGAGCCAACATGCGTGTGCATGCGGAAAATCGAAAGCGGCGGCGAGCAGTAAATAACGAAGCGGGAGATTAGCAAGAAGTGCCACACACAATGCGCGGATGCGTGGTTCATGCGCTGCCCCATGCTCCAGAGCAGAGGCGCAAGCAGGCGGACCGCTCAGCCCATGACGCTGGAATAGCTCACGCTTTCGCTGAGGTACTCATTCCCGGGATTGTAGGTGAATCCCCGGAACTGGTCTTGCACGGTCTCAGAAAGCGGCGTTGCATCGACGTGCGAGTCTTGAGCCTGCTCTGTGGTGAACTCGGAGTCGAAGTTGGCGGTATCAAGAACGGATTCCTACAAAGAATCGATCAGATATTGTTTATGCAAGAGTACCGCGCTGAGCAACATACTACACTGGGCTTGAATGGTGGCTGGATCTTTTTCGCCATTAACCTGTACGTCAAATCAGTGAACTGTATGATACGAAGGCCCTGGCTAAAGCTTACCGGTTCCAATCGATATGTCTTGCGAAGAACGGGTGGCGTTTGATGTCCTCCGCTCCGTTGGCGCCAAGGCGGTGCGCCGGATTTCGCTGGAGCAGCGCCGACATGATGTGCTTCACCTCCGACGACATGTCTTGAGGGAAAACAAGGGGATCTGAGAGGATGCGCTGGTACATGACATTGACATTTTCGTCGTAGAAGGGTGGGAGACCAGTCTGCAAGAGATTATTAGTGAATAGACCGTCTCATATTATAAGAGATCACGAGCCCGCACCATCATCTCGTACAACAGTACACCCAGAGTCCACCAGTCAACTGTTTTTGTGTAGCCCTGACTTTCAAGGAGTTCGGGCGCAATATATTCGGGGGTTCCACAGAATGCTTAATAATAACATGAACGATCGGTAGGAAACCTTGACGGAATTTAATACTTACTATTAGTCTTCTCCGTCTCTGACATGTTGAGTTTGCACAGACCAAAGTCGCATAATGCGATGTGACCTGTGTAGTCAAGCAGAATGTTTTCGGGCTTCAAATCTCTGCAAAGACTTGAGTTGAGTACACACCAGCGGACCGGTTGCTTCGTAACACACGTACCGATATACAACATTGAAACTGTGTAGGTGCTCCAACGCGCACAATAGCTCTGCTGCGTAAAATCGACTGCGGCTCTCATCAAACTTGCCCTCGCGCTGCAGATGGTAGAATAACTCTCCACCATTGACTTCATCGTAGCAAGTGAATATACGGCAAATGCTACACGGCAACCAGAGGAAACGCACCGAAAGACATAACTAGGTATAGTTTATCAGGCGATTGGAATGAGAACTTGAGTGGAACTATAAAGGGATTGTTGACTAGGGCAAGCACTGTCCTCTCCGCAAGGATGTGTGTGATTTCGCCTGGCCTCTGGGCAATGTTCGCCTTGCGGATGGTCTTCAGAGCGTATATCCGCTGCGTGTCTTTCTTCCGGACCTGCATCACCTTACCGAAGCTGCCCTTGCCAATGACCTTCAAAAGGTCAAACTGCTCGATGGTGAGCGACTCGTGACGCGCAGGCTTGAAGTCGATTTTCAAGTGGAACGAGCCCGTGCCTGCCGTAGCGGTGTACCATTGGTCTGACGCCCGCTGATATCGTTCCCCTGTCAGTCGTGAAGCGATAAGAAGAAGAAGCAACGTACATGCCCGTCTAATGCCGGAGTCATGTCTACACGAGCCAGCAGCAGATCGTTGCCCATATCGCCCTGTCCGGGCACGCTCGGAGCAGTGCGCAAGTACGCAGAGACGGCGATATTAGACATACGAGACACGTCGCTGTGTGCAAGAGGTCAGACATACTCGCAAGACGGAGTGAATGTGGCACTTACAAATCGGCTTTGTGGTTCCATTCTGGCTTGGAGAGATCACCGCCCAACGCATCAATCAGCACCTCGTTCTTGTCGAACTCGAGTACGACGTAGGGCAGCCACCAGTATCGTCTGCGTTGCAGGCTCTCACGCTGGGCGGCCCGCGGCGGTGGGGCGGACTGTAGTGCTTTCTGGACGTTGTCTGGGATCGGTACCCCGGGTGGGAGCGATAGACCGCGTCCTGCGCCCAGATCACAGTAAGCGGCGGGAATGCAGCAGAGGCGGCGACGACGTACCCGAGAATATGCGGATAGTGAGCAAGCCCTGGCGCAAATTCGCCTCTGGGTTGTCGGGGGGCTTAGGGGTGACCGCGCGCGAGGGCATGGGGGTCACGGAGCGGGAGAGGGCGCCATTATCCTTGAGATCCTTGGGCTCTGTGAAGGTGCGCGGTCACACAACATCGAGAGCAGGGAGGACACTCGAATACGTACTCTTCGAGCCCAGTTTCCAGGACATGGTCGACGCTGAAGAGGTGGAAGGCCGAGGCGAGCGCCGACAGTGATGGTGGTGGGCGCAGCTATATACCGGGCGTTCGCGGACGGACACTGTGTGATTTTGGTGATCTTATCGCGCGGGCGTAGCCATCCGTCGACTCACCTGCTCCAGCTTACAGATTCGTCCGACGCGCTCAGCGCAACTGCGTTACGGTAACGTTCAGGCTGCTCGTCCGAGTGGGCTGCTGCTGCACAGCCGGCCGCGCACTGGGGTGGTCACGAGGGGGTGACCGGCTTCCAATGGATATCGTTCCGGCTCTGAGGCGACCTCGAACTCTCAAATCTCTGCCGCAAATGGGTAATACAAGCGGATGATGGTACTATAGACGGCTGAGGTCGACAACCTCACGGAAATCCACTCAAAATCCTAAATACAGCAAGTAACACGGTGACCGTACGTGATAGTCACATCGCTGTCACACTTCCGTTCCTCTGTATCTCGCCGCCTCAAGTCGCCTTCAAGGCATCGAGATTCAAATGTAATTCAAGTACTTCAACGTTCAGCTGCGGACGGGTGCAGAAATAGATATGACAGCTCTCCTCCCTGGCTACGGTCCAGACCTCTACCAGAGCTCATCTGTAAATACAATCCTCCGAAGATTCGGCATGCCCTAGCTAGGCATCATCAGCCATGCATGTCGTGTCCCACCTTATTTCACCATAGGACTTCCTACTCGGGTCTCATATCGCTCCTAAGATTTAGTACTTCATCACAACTGACTGGGCATTGGCAAAACCGTCTGCAGGCCATCAGCTGGGAGTAATCCTGTGATCGTACTGCATGAGGACGTTCAGTCACCCCGAAACGCAAACATCGAGCAAACATACCTCGGCCAATGTAGACGACACCGTACGTATGATGAGGCTGGATGTTTTCTTTGTGGGTATGAGTAGCACAGTGGGATGTCGAAGACATGTCTCATTGTAAACTCAATGGATGAATTCATCGCCTTAACGGCCAGGAGTACTCCACATACCCTGCTTCCGCGGAGATCGCGGACATGGGTCGGAGGAATTATATAGAATTTCACGCACCCAATTCTAAAACAAGCCACAGATATCTTCCGACACAATTGCGTAGGCCACAGGGTAGATACGTCAGTCTTTACTCGGGCGCAGAACAGCCTGGTACGTTCAACTTCTAGTCTCGATCTTGAGAAGCCTAACACAGTTTGTAATTCTGCCAGCGATTATGTCAGGATCGGGTACGGGAAACACGATACTACTCGTACCTGAGTATCTAGATCAAACACCCACCGTCGTCCATGGTGATCTACCAACGCTGAAGTCCGGGTCATGTAGCCGCGCTACTCGTCCCCGCACCCAGAACGCCCCATATGACCTTCCCTATGATACTCACACCATCATTACGCCATGAGCCCCTCCGTCGTGAATCTTCCGCAACATCTTTGCTTATTACGCCGGTTGATTCACGTGCGCGCACTATCGTGTCCACGATGTGCTCCGTGAACTCTGGATGGCCCTGCACCGTCAGTATATGCACGTCTTCCACTCCGGGTGTACCGGCTCCCCGACCCTCATAAAACCGCACCATGCCCTGATTGAGCGAGATGGGCGTAGAGCCGAGGAGCTCAAACGATGGCGGAACCGCAGGTACGTGGTCTCTGTGCATCTGTTGGATGTTCTGCGCAACTCCACATCAGAACTGCGTAAAACGACGTAAGATTGGAGGGGCGCACCAAGGTGGGTACACCGAAGAGTCGTCGGCCGACCTCGGTGAGCGCGATTTCCGTCACACCGACTTCCCACTTGCCGTCATTGGGGACGCACTCTCCGCCGAGCGCGCGCGCTACGATCTGGTGCCCAAAGCAAATTCCTACTCACGGTGATTCAGCTATCTTCATTGTAGACCTAGTCTAATGCGCCAAGACTGCAGGCCTGAGACTTGGTCGAGCCCCACTCCGATCACACTTGAGCTTTTTTTGCAACTGACACCAATAGGCCTAGCGCAATTGGAGTAGACACAAAACTCACCGATCACCCTGATATGGGGCTTCTCGTTCGCTATCTCCCGCACATACGAAACCAGACGATTTATCCACTCCAAATTCTCATATGCCGACGCAGCTGATTGCAGGAAGAATGAGCCGCGTCCCTTCAGCAGCCTCTCGGAGAGACCAACCAGATCCAGTCAGTATGATCCCGCTGTACTCGTCGATGTTCTGCGGGTACTCCAGCTTGTTGCGCACGTCGTACGGGTCGAGGGTGAATGCTATGCCAGATTCGACGGGGAGCGAGTCACGGAGGAGGACATTGAAAATGGCAGTGTAGTCGCCGTGCGAGGCGAGGACACCTGGTATAGGCGTGTCACACAGGAATAGCGCGAGATGGAGCGAAGGAGCCATGGATGGCCTTCGGGACAGCGTCGCCTTGATGAAACAAGGTCGAGGAGGGTCGTATAGAATAGCCAGTGCCAGAGACGAGAAAGCAATCAGTGCGGGCGGGATCGGTGTCTACTGATATGGGATGGGCACTAGTCCATATATGGATACTATTTACGAACGATGGGCGCTTCTTCGCATTATCGACCCCACACTCTGCTCAGCGCCCTGCATCGCCGACGCCGTGCGAGTCTGTCTTGCAGGTGAGTTGTATCTGTCTGTGCTGGAAATGAAGCTCACTGGTCATCATTCTGCAGAAAAGATCGACCCAGAATCATTGGTTGGGATGTCTCCCATTTCGACTTCATGGTCCTTGACTGGATTTCAGCTATCTCGCCCGCCTTATCTGCGAGTCGAGTCAAGTTTGCTGGGATGTCTCAGAGATAACCGAGCGACGTGATCTCCGTGAAAAAAGTGCACGCGAGAAGCCGTTTTGACGCTCTGCTATCGCTGTTATCTCGTCTCCAGCCGCCCTCATAAATATGGGTGACCTCATGCTATTCATCTCGTTCCCGTTCTGTCCCCTTCGACTTCTTCGTTGAAGTCCGTGACTAGGTCGATCTTGATAGGCGACCACTTTGCCCAGCAGAGCGCGAAATGGCTGCGGACGGACCGGTCCTTCCTCAGGGTGCGGGGTATGGTGTCGGTATGTCGTCATGCAAATGCAGATTATTCGATTTTATCTGACTCCTCCTTGCAGTTGTTGGCGCGTACCATTCTGCTCCCTATATGTGCCCAAAAAGAAGCTTACCTTTCGATTCACAGGAATCGGACTGTTCTTTTCCGCATTCATGGTCTGCTTGACCGCCATACAAACCCGTTATACCGGATTCTCGCCCAAGAACTCCGAAGAATTCAACAGCGCCTCCAGGAGCGTCAAGCCTGGCCTTATTGCATCCGGTATCGTCTCTGCATGGACCTGGGCTGCCACGCTGGTGAGTCAATATCGATATTTTCTTGGGCGATCCCGCCCGTCTCATTCTCTCCAAAGCTGCAATCGAGCGCCGTCGGATATGAGTACGGAATTTCCGGCCCGTGGTGGTACGGTGCAGGCGCGACGGTTCAAATTCTTCTCTTCGCACAGGTAGGTCGTGTGACAGGCATATACGGTGTAGCTGCTCTAAACATCGAGCAGCTTGCAGCTAAGCTGAAGATGAACGCGCCTCACGCGCATACATGGCTCGAAATCGTCTCCGCTCGATGGGGCAAGGTTGCCCACCTCGTCTTCATGTTCTTCGGGTACGTATGATTCCGGTTGGGCGGCCGATAATAGTTGTCCTGAATCACTATATCCATAGTTTGGCGACGAACATCATCGTCTCCTCCATGTTGATTCTTGGTGGCTCCGCTACTGTCAGTTCGCTCACGGGTATGAACACACTCGCAGTAAGTCATGTATCATCCGCGGAATGTTGAAATCTCAAGCTGATTCACCAATAGGCGTGTTTCCTCATCCCAGTCGGAGTTGCAATCTACGTGGTTGTTGGTGGCATGCGTGCAACCCTACTATGTGACTAGTGCGTTAGCCGTTCTATCCTACCTACAGTATCCAAACTCATCTTACAATCTCAGCACGCATACGAGTGTCCTCTTCGCGATTATCTTCGTATTTGTGTACACTGTATATGCCACGAGTCCAGTCATTGGCAGCTTCAGTGCTATGCATGATCTCCTTACCAAGGCGGCAGAGCAGGCTCCAGTAGCTGGTAATGCGCATGGATCGTACCTCACGATGCGGTCCAAGAACGGGCTTATTTTCGGTGTCATCAATGTCATTGGTAACTTTGCGACTGTGTTCCAGGACCAAGCCGTATGTTTTTTTGTATAATCTTATTTTCATTGTGTTCACTTATTCGACGCTCCAGTACTGGCAACGTGCAATTGCTAGCAGACCTGCAACTTGCGTCAAGGCATATCTCCTCGGAGGTCTTGCTTGGTATGGCACACTACCTTGCTAGCATTAATGTCGTCTCACTATCGCCTTCGGCAGGTTTGCGATTCCGTTTATGTTCGCCACCACGCTCGGTCTCTCTGCAGTCGCCCTACGTGGTAGCCCGAACATGATGGTGCTCACCCCCGAAGACGTCTCCGCTGGTCTCCCCGCATCCGCGGCCGCGGCAGCGCTGCTTGGGCAGTCTGGAGCAGCGGCCCTGCTTATCGTCCTGTTCTTGGCCGTCACATCGGCGACATCTGCTGAATTGATCGCGGTATCGGCTGTCTTGACGTACGATGTCTATAAGGTCCGCGTGTGGTGGTTGCGGCATAGTTGACATTTGACTCATCATCTTATGACAGAAATATATCAACCCGAAGGCGACGGAAACTCAGATTCTGCGGGTGTCGCATGCGATGGTGCGCTCAAGATGGTGCACTGTAATGCATTCAGTACTGAAATTCCAACAGGTGGCATTGTTCGCGATTGTCATGGGCTTCCTAGGTCTTATATTCTACTACATCGGAATCTCCATGGGATGGCTCTACGTGGGTGTCAGATTCAATTACTTTGACCGTAGATGATCGAACTCTTCACTTATGCAGGACTTCATGGGCGTTGTCCTCGGAGCTGCCGTCGTCCCCATTGCGATTTGTGTCACATGGCGAAAGGCCAACAAGTGGGGCTGCGTCGGTGGCGCCGTTGTTGGATTCTGCTGTGGTATCATTGCATGGCTTGTCACCACTTCGACACTCAACGGCAAGGCCATCAACGTCACCGTAAGAGTCATTCGAAATCTGCGTACGAGATCTATGCTTACGAGACTACTGCCTGCAGACGAGCGGCGGGAACTATGAGATGTTAGCGGGTAACCTTGCCTCAATTGGCATGGGTGGAATCATCTCCTGTATCACTTCTCTTATTGTTCGTATTTTCCCACTCCCAAGGCATCCATTGACTGATACGCGTATGGCAGTGGCCAGAAGACTTCAACTTTGACATCACACGAGCCATAAACGCACCACCACAGTCAGACATGTCCGAGAAGACCAGTGAAAATAGATCGTCCGAGGATGATATGGATGAAAAGAAGCAGGATCCCAGCAATGTCTCTACCAACCCCGTGGGGGCTGTTGAGAACGGTGCAGTTGCGGCGCAGGACCTGGATCCCGTTGCCTTACAGAAGGCTTTCAAGCTCGCAGCCTGGTCGTCGGTTGCGTTGGTATGTCTGCGCATCTAGCCTGTCAAACCGGTTGCTTAAACCTATGTTAGACTCTTGTGATGCTGATCCTCATTCCTCTGCCGTTGTTCTTCGCCCAGACGGTTTACGGCGTCAGAGGATTGACTGCATGGGTTGTCATCGGAATGATCTGGGCGTTCTGCTCAGCCATCTCTGTCGTTCTGTACCCGCTTTATGAGAGCCGTGCGGCGTTGCGTATGATTGGGCGAGGGATACTGAAGGTACGCCGTTTTCTAGTGTCGATTACATGGATGTCCCTGACTGGACCCCTATAGGACATTTTTCACCGTGGTAGTGGCAAGTTTGTCCGCCCCACGGCGAATCCACACGTTGCATGAAAGATTTGATGATGTTGATGGTACTTGTAATGTCTTGGCTTGTATTAGACTAGAATACATGTCAGAGTAGAGCTCTGGTTTATAGATAGAGAAGTCAAACCAAATAAATCCAATTTCAACAATGATATGTTGTTGAAGTTGTAATTCATCTCTTTAGATAGCATGCACAGTTCACAACCTTGAGCCTGACTTATTTGACACTTATGAATATAAACTGAGATTCTCTCTCTAAACATTGCAATCTGTTGTATGTTGCAACTGAGTACCTGGAGAAATAATAAATTCATGTGAAACAGTGAAGATGGAAGTTGTGGTACAACAGCATGATAACAAGCAGATTGTAGGTTCAAGTTGTAGATATGAGTGATAAATGTAGTTCAACACTAAAATCTACTCCATAAAATCTCTGCCTTATATTCAGCATTGCTAACATAGAGTTGAGAAGCACTGGAATATCAATGTGTTCAGAATGTATAGCCAATTATTCAAGAATTAGCCTACATTTAGGGGTTATAAAGTATATAGGTAGATATAATATCCTATCACAGAAATACTGTATGTAAATTTATAAGTGTGTCTCAAACTATAGCAGGACTGTAGTACTTACACTTATAAAGCAAGCCAAACCACTGAGGCTGGTGAACACAAATATTCAAACCCAGATTTATACTTAGACAATGTTACATACCAAACAAAAATGCCAGTATTGATGGTGTATAGAATCAGAACATGTATTATTCTATCAGTTCTGGGTGATTGTTCATTTATCAGGATAAAGTGCAGAATGTTATCAAGTGAATTTCTAACCTATATATGCTTGTTTTGCATTTTTTAAGCAACAAACAAAGTGCAATTGTATTTGACAAGTCTGCAATCACTGCAGCTGCCAGCCCTGCTGGTACTAAAACTATAGCCTGATAAAAATTATGTATTATTAAAAAAGCTTAAAGTGATAAAATAACTCACTGTATTATCTGCTTGAACTGCAGTTTTTTCATTGCCAAAATCATATACAATTGGAGACCTATATACAAGTTTGTGAAACATTGAGTGATATATATATCAGTACTTACAATTGAATGCAAAGAGCTAGAATATTAAAATAAGTACATCATATAATAGTTTGCTAATAATTAGATATATTACTTATAGTAAACCCTTTAAGATATGATTAGAATGCTAAAATCAGACAACTATATTTTTATATGATAGCTCAAGCACATACCCATTGCAACCAGTGTACTCAGCACCTATATTCTTAACTTAGATATCAATACAGCAAGATAAATAAAGCATACATTTATCACTATAAATGTGTATTTATGCATCTGCACTATGAACCAGTTGGTCAAATGATAATACACTAAAACAAATCTCACATTTCCATATTCTATAGATCAAAACCCTGACAATCAAATTAAGAATCATAGCTGTGATTAGATATTGAGATATAACATACATTCTTACAAGAAGATCACTTGAACCCTAAGTATTGATTAGCATAGACTCAGAGGATCTGTGAAACAAATATCATCATAACTTACTGCAAGAGCAATATAGATCTTGATTAAAGTCAGCTAGAATTATATAGGTATATCTTTGAGCCTGCCTGTATGATCCTATATAATAGTGAGATATCTGATTATATACCACTGCAAAATAAATAGTGCACATACTGTTCAGGAAATATAACAAGGTGAAATTGATCACTAACAAGCATGTTAAATAATGCAGCAGCTATTGCACCAGTTTGTGCAAGATCCAAAAGCCTGGAAACATATCAGATTATATAAAATCAAGCCATCAAAGTACTTTATACCATGAGATAAATATCTTAAGAATATATATTCAGTAAAAGATGGAAACAATGTAAAATCAACATACAACAGTTTTTATTACTTTTGGATCAGTTTTATTGTGAGTAAAATAAATAGCA